GAGGTCGTCGACCCTGATGGTAATGTCATCTTCCGAGGTCTCTCTGTCCGTATGGGTATCCACTGGGGCACACCAGTGTGCGAAGTTGACCCAGTCACCAAGCGCATGGACTACTTTGGACCCATGGTCAATCGCGCCTCGCGTATTTCTTCCGTTGCCGACGGAGGTCAAATCACTGTCTCGTCTGACTTCATTGCTGAAATTCAACGTCTACTCGAGACGCACATTGAAGGCGATCGTAAGAACTCCGCTGGATCTGAAGAAGCATACAGCGACGACATGAACAGCCAGATGATTCGTGGAGAACTACGGTCGCTCAGCTCCCAAGGTTTTGAGGTTAAAGACCTTGGTGAACGCCGCCTCAAGGGTCTTGAGAATCCTGAATACATATACCTCATGTACCCCCACTCGCTCGCTAGTCGTCTTGCTGTTCAACGTCAGACAGAACAGAAGCCTGCGGAACAGCAAAAGGAGGCTGTTGTGGGTCAAAAGATGGCAGGTAGTCAGCTCACCATCGACACCGAAGATGTATGGAATCTCTGGAACATTAGTCTGCGTCTAGAGATGCTGTGCAGTTCACTTGAAAATCCAGGGTGCTCAGAATTGAAGCCCCCGGAGACAGCTCTCTTGGAGAGAATGAGGAGTAGGGGCGGAGAGATAACGGACCGATTCTTGATCAATTTCGTGGAGCATCAGATCTCCAGAATCGAGGTACGATTTACACCACTTTCGAGTACGAAGAGAGCGAATGCTAATGAAGATGACAGACTTGTGCCAGCACCCTTGCCCTGCGTCACATGGTAAGGCCGTTCGGCGCTGCGCCTCTACTTGAGCAAGCCTGCCATATGGGCGACATCTTCTCAGAGCTAGAAGCGAAGCTCAAGCGACTAGAGGAATTCGAACGTGGAGCTATCGAAGGCATGGCGCCATCATGAACTGCGTCAATCTAATACGAAACGACCATACATTTCCGCAATTACGCAATCGTACAACGACCGAACATGATCACGCGTCGCCCGTCGAAAGCGGTTCACAGCCAATGACCACAAAATCTCGCTTCCAATACCTCTTTTACACAACACCCTATCTTATCCTAATCCACCAGTCTCTTCCTCAGTGAGGGAGCATGGCAACGCTCGCATCTCTTCCCCCCAATTATCGATTCGGCGTTTACTTCACATTGGCTTGGGAGCGAATTGGACATGGATCTGTATTGTACAACACATGCGCACACATGCGACATAACTGCCCTGGAGGCTACATACCTCTATGTCACCTATACCTTACCTCACATGGCCTCGATACCAAGATGTATCTTACCGCCACACAAACACACAAACTAGGACTCCTGAGCGGGTTGCGATCGGGGTTATCTTTTCAATGGCGTTTTAGGAAGGAGCTCGCTCCTGGACAGATTCGGGCCTTGTGCTCTATGCGTATCTTTTTGTTTTGCCGGCTACCTTGGGGGGGGTTTTTTTTTGCTACGTATGGATTGAACTGTAGCTGTAAGCTTTATTGTTATCATGCTGGGTTGGGTGATGATGGACTTGGACGTGGACGGCTGGGTAGTCGAACGATTGGCCTTCTTTTCTTTCTCACGGCCTTGAGATGGTTTGGTTGGTTGGTTGGTTGGTGGGGTGGTGGGACGGTACTCTGCTTTTAGCTGGTTGGCGGGCGGTGATATGTGTATGAATGGGAGCATGATGACGAAGCGAGGGGTGGGGAAGCAGAGGCAGGAAGGGGTTAGTGAATGATCATCGCTTTTTACCTGTGCAAAGACTTTGCTATTGCTGAGTGTATGTGTGCCTGGGGGAGGGATGTGAGATGGCGAAGAGGACAGGCTTTTGCTGAAAGGCATGTTTCTTGAAGCAGAGAATCAATGACTATCGCGATAATCTGCCTATGACCCTTGCTACATGTAACTATCAAGGTAACTTTAAGCCAAGTGCTCCCTCACCAACTTCTTGGGTTAGAAAATGTGATACCAAAACCAGCACTGAAATGGATCATGATATGGGAGTGCAAGGCCTTTGATACGTTCGCAAATTCAAAACATTCGACTTCGTTGCCATGGTATTCGGCTGCCTCGTGCTAGGCTCCACGAAAAGAGCAGCGAGGAAGGAGAGTATATAAACTCTTCTTTCCGCTGCTCTCTTCTTCCTTCATCACCTCCACTCTCCTTGAGTTTTACCAAAAAAAAAAACACTCCGCTGCTATGGAGTGTGTTGCTCTTCTCTTCTTCTCAAATGTACCGAGATATACACATGGAGCGCACTTCTACTCTTTCTCCTTCCATCATACCCAAAAACGAAGGTATGAGACCCCATGGGGCCGTTTCTCTGCGCGGCTTCTTTGTCTCCAAAAACATGGATAAACTCATGCCATGAAATTTCTCTCGCTTTTTCGAACAACTTTATCAACACGACACTTCTTTCTGCTCCAGACACCACCTCAAAAATGGAGAATCTATGCGCAATGTTCGCTTTCGAAGTTTAAGAAACGTTATGCTTGTACCGCTCATGTTCGTCTTGGGATTCAAAATCGATACTCAGATTGGCCATGAGATAGGAGTACGGAAGCCTTCAACACATTCACAAACACAAAACATTCGACTTGGTCGTTATGGTTTCCGGCTGCCTCGGTTTTTTGTGCAAACGCAGTACCTACGACTATATGTTTGACCGTCGGGTATATAACTTCCACCTCTCGACGACTCTTACTCAACTATAGCAATACCCCCCACCTATTTTCAAAAACGAAAGCAAAATTTGCGATGGTCTGGGTGTCACCTCACCGAATATATATATATATCTCCCAAGATATATGGAAATCTAGAACAGCAGGTTTGCTACCCAAAATGAGAGCGAGACCTGGGCATGGAGATCTCTCCAAGATATTCCACATAGTATCAATACCACAACAAACTACTTCATATATCACTACCAAAGTGTTTTGTTATAGAAACACATGTCTATCCGCCTGCCTATCTCCAACCTACCAAGGATCACCAGGTCTCCTTCTCCGATGCAAATGCTTGATCACAACGTTCACACCCATCCGCCTCATCTCTTTGGCAACAATCTCCGCTGTACCGACACTTCTATGTGTACCCGCATGACACGTAGTCTGTATCGAGGCAACCTGATGACCAGCGTTGAAATGGTTGACAATAGAAGCCAGTGCTTTTTTACTAGAATATCACAAATTAGCACCTTATGTCTTGCCTGACTTCTTCAAAATAGTTAAGGAATATACATGTGGTACTCACATTTCTCGTACGGCTGTTCGACTCCCCATTATAAACTGCTGTATTTGCTGGCTCACTCCAGAGTACATCTCACACATTTTTCGTGGTGGTGCACGCCATGTCTGACAGTATATCGTCAGAAGGGCTGGTACATGTGGTATGTATTGTAATAGTTGTACTTCGGCGCCTAGTTGGCGTTCGAGGACTTCGGAAGAGTAGGTGGTCACGTATAGGGTTTTCTGGATCAATGGAACTTGTGGTTGCAAAAGAGGTCGTGGAGGAAGCAGTAATTGCTCCTGCGGAAGATGCTGCTGGAGCGGTAGTATATTTGGTAAAGGTGCGGGCAATAGACCTGCTTGCAAAGGTACTTGCATTTGCGGAAGTGGGTAAATGACAGGCTGAAGCAGGTACATTTGTATATGTGGATATACTGAAAACCTGGAAGATGATGCTCATAGAAGAAATGCGGGCTATAGAACGCCGGGTAAGCGGCTCTTCTACGCACACGAGCATTATGTGAATATATTCAGATGCTGATGATGTGATGAATTTCAATGAGCTTCAATCCTGAGGCCCAATTTTGAAGCAATATGTATGTAACTACGTGGTTTCATATCACAGATAGAACCAGAAGCTGGTTATTGTGAATTCGAAATGCACAAGTTCTCAGACTTCACGTCTGCACCAAAATGGAAAATCGCGTACATGTCTGCCAGCGTCGAGGAAGTCCTTTGATACAGTTTGGAATGAGCGTTAGCAAAGGCCTCAAACTGAGGTCTGAAGACCACCTGATCTTTCTCAACCCTTCGATACGTCCACGGGTACGTCACCCTTCCGAACAACTGCGCCACATCAACCCTTACGCCGCATGCTCGCCTATCCTAGTATTCAGTTTACTGCACCGGACTGATTTCCAAATCTGCCCATAATCGTCTTTTCTATCTTGAATCCTGTAGCTCCTGCATCCAGATAGGGCTGCATACCATCACACACGTGGCGCCCAGATCCCCGGTCGCATGTCTGATCCTACGCCAACCTTCCACAATCTGCTTCTACAACCCTGCATAGAAGCAAGTAACTGACTCTCCTTCTTCCTACGGCCTGGATCGTAGCGGCACAGGTATAACGAGCTCTTCGCTTGCTATGCAAGGAGAAGACGGACTTGGCAACGTCTACGAAGTGGGCCAGGAAGTCAACCACGCCGCAAATCCTACTTACGCCCCACCCGTGCACAGGGGACTGGGCAGGATCTGGGCGGCTATCTCGCCAATAGAATATTACAAGATGCATACATGGCAGTATGAGTTATGGGTAAGCGAATCCTGATGTGCAGCGGGTGACATCCCTTGCTCGGAGCTGGCGACACGCGGTGTGGTCGACGTGATACCGAGTTGCCGGGTACTTTGAAGGATCGTCATATCGTATCGATATTCCTAACGCCCGCCCATTAATCTAACAAGATGTGCATTGTTGGGTAAAAGCAAAGTGGACGATGTCCATGGCGGGAATAGTAGTAAATCGCTGGATCTTCCTGGAAGGAGACATGGTCAAAAAGCTCCGCGTGCACGATCTGGACTGGAAGTTCGGGTATCGAGTATGGGATGAGACCAATAAGAAGTATATCTTCCTTCCTTCCCTATTAAGACTGAGGTAAGCTCAACGAAACACTTTGGAACCAGATACTCGGTATTCTGAAATTTCGCATCACTTACTCCCTCTAGAGGTCAATCGATGCAAGAGCTCGTTGCATGATTCACAATTTGCCTTCACTACCCCCTTGGAGAACATCGCGTAGCAACTTCAACCCTTCCACGGCAAATGCCACCATATTACCTTCGCGCTCACTGCTGCCCGTTTCCACTTCCTTGGTCACAGTCTCGCCTGTCTCCCGTGCCACAGCAAGCGCCACATAACCAGGCGTCCTGTTCTTGGTTGTGCCTCCCGTCGGTCCAGCCGTTCCGCTCTCGCTGACAGTATACGTGCTGCCTAGTGTCTTCCGAGTGTGCTCGGCGAGGCCGGAGACGATGGTGGGGGTTGGGCCGCTGTAAGACTTGATGGTGTCCTGGGTCCAGCCGCAGTAGGCGATGCGTGATTCGAGTGTATAGAGGGTAAGGCCTCCGCGGTAATAGCTCGATGCACCAGGAAAGGAAAGGAGTGCTGCAGAAATCAGACCGCCTGCTGCCTTTGTGGGTACGCGTCAGTAAGGATGTTTAGCTCTTGAAGAATGGAGAGACTTCACTGTTTCGGCTACTGAGACTGTTTCTTTGCGCTCCTTGAGTAGAGTGGCTACTTCCTGGACGATTTGTCGTAGTTCCTCGGGCGGGAAGATTGGAGGTGACATTGTGATATATGCAGAATTGGTGGTACCGGGTTACTTTTGCGTATTTGAGGACGAAGACTTCGATATACGTATGGACTGCCTTTACAAATAGAATTTCTTGATGATCGTAGCGGACTTATGTCGGATGTAGCGGCTCTCGGTGGGGTAGCTTCGAGGCAGTGACGTATGCGGGGTAGCTTCTACTACAGGCACATCTAACCATACATTTCATCCCTTATGTACATGCAAGGCTCAACGCATAATATACAGTGTCCATCTAGTCGAAGGCGAACCTTTCCTCTCCTCTCTTCATCAATCTGATGGGTATAGACACGCCCCTCAACTGTAGCGTGACAATGCTCGCCACTTTGTTCTTGAGGAAGTCCTTGGCTCTATCCTCAGCCTTTCGGTATAGCTCCCTCCTCTCCTTGCCTCCTTTTGGCATCTTCTCTACTTCTTCGTCACTAGCGAAGTCATCTACTGCAAGCTCAACGCTATACTGCGAGAAGATCGCAGCCAGCACGGCAAGAATCTCAACTTGAGCAAAACGTCGGCCAATGCATGATCGAAAGCCATCGCTGAAGGGGATGTATGAACCTTTGACGGGCTTGAAGAGTTGAGCTGAAGTGTCTTCTCCTGATGGTCCACGTAAATCTTCATCATCGTAATTGATGTCGACAAAGTCGTTGTCAGGCTTAGTGTCGACGAGCCAGCGTTCAGGTCGGAAACAGTCTACGTCCGGGATCCCGTCCTTATTCGATCCATCAGATGGTGCTGGCCAGTATTTAGGATTGCGGTGGATAGCCGCACTAAGGAAGATATGTGTATCTCCAGGTATCATGTATTGTTGGCCTCCAACATTTAATGGCCGGGGCTGACCCGGCGCAGTAGACTTTGGGATGTTGACGATGGGTTGTAGAATGCGTAATGTCTCGTTCATGACAGCTGCCGCCATACCACCGAAAAGGGGTTGGAAATGCTCCTCAAATTTCCATTCGTCCATCGGCTTACCCGCAAATATCTCGTCGATGTCTTCCTGTAGCCGCTTCTGGGACGCCCAGTTCATTGCGAGGAATATCATCGAGAAATGTAGTGTGTTGGCTGTTGTTTCGTGACCAGCCAGCATTACTACGAAAGCGTTGCCCAGCAAATCGCTCTTCGTAATCGTCGAGCCCTCCTTCTTGGTAATGCCGCTTCCTCGGATCAGAGCATCAAAGAGATCCATGCCTTCTTTTGTATCATCGCCGGATTCAACCTGGGTCTTCTTCTTTTCGTAAATCTCGTTCATGTACTTTCCCCATTCGCCTACAGCCTCTCCGACTGTACGATGGACTTTGACTGGTGATCGCGCTGTCCGATCACGTTAGAACAACGTCCTCAATTCAATGCAGTCAGAAAATGACAGGGAGGTGACTTACAAAGCCACTTGATAGGCATAATCTGAGTCCACATGATGTTGTGGAGCAGTTCGCTAAGAGCTTCCCTATAGTTCATGGTGTGGCCTGGAGGTGCTTCGGATCCTACGAAGATCGAGTCTTCTCCACCCTTCTTAGTCTTTGGTTTCTTGCCCTCTTCGTGCGGCCACACTACGCGTACGTCGAAACCTGCACCACTAATAACATAGAGAGCAAAGTTCATTGCCGCGACAGAAGGGTCAGCCACGGTCAAGTTTCCTTTACCATCAGGCCCAGCCCACAGATCGAGCATCGACGTTGCGTGGTGAATAGTCTCATTGAACACGAGTTGATTGTTCTTGTCACCGAAGCTCGGTGCGACAAGTTTACGGTGTGCACGCCAATCTGACCCCTCAGTAGACACAAGATTCTTTCCGTAAATGTCCAGTGACCCGTACATCTCAAGAGGCTTGGGAAAATCATTGCGGCGGCTGGTAATCTGGTTGACGGCCTCCGCATCGGCCACGTAGACAGTATTTCTGGTAGGAGAAGCCACAATGAACACGTCCATCCCCATCTTTTTGAAGGGCTCATGACCGCTCATATAACCCCATTCCGGATGCAGGATGCTGCAGGATCAAATTAACATCTCAACTATGATCAAGTTGGACATACTTACTCCATCCACATGCCTCTTAGTGGTTCTGGCACAAATCTCTGCAGCAATGGCGTCCATAACTTGAAAGTTGACAGCCAGAAGATACTGAACATGTGCCATGGCGCTACAATCACAGGTAATCCCGAGCTCTTTGCGAGCGCGACATTTCGCTGTAGACTACGATATCTCCAGGTTATCTGATAGATGGCGAAGCTCGCAATGACGCTAAAGATCAGGGTGGCGATCATGATGTTCTTCCTGGCGGAACTTCAGACTAGGGGGGGAGTTTACTGGTACAAGAGATTGTGGTCCACGCGATCTTGCGCTATCGAAGGCACTGTGGTGAGGATGCTGGAGGTGTCTGTCGATGATGTGCATTCGCCTCTCCAGGCGCGAATGGAATTGTGACGTATACATGTGCGCGATTGAACTTGTCTCACTGGCGTCTCAGCACCTCGGTTACGAAAGATCGCTAGCAGATGCATCTCGCGTACTGTATATGTGTGCAGTATGCAAGACCTGACGATGCATAGGGTTACACAAATGAAGCTGTAGGCTGATAGGCTCTACTCACTAAATCGTTCCCTCGTGTGGAGTTGCAGTGTGAGATAGGATGCGCGTAAGCAGTCATGATCCGAAATAGGCTTAGCGGAATCGCGCCTGTCTACTTGTTTCCTTACATGTACCAGTTGTGTGACACTTGCGCTTTACACGCATCTACGAAACACAAACAAGAACCTGATCTGGCCGTGTCACCTGGTAATGGGGACCTAGAAGCTGTGTCCCTTGGTTGCAAATTTCTGCGTTTGGTACGACACGGCAGGGCGTATTTCCGAGGAGCAAAATTACAAGGCAATACCCGCGCGCACCACCTGGTGGACAGCGACCAGACGAAGGTTCATCTATATCGTCACTTGCGACGTCACATCATACCTTTCGTCATTGTTGAATGCATCTGCGTCAGCACGAACACTTTCTATCACTAGACGACAAGGCGAATGCGTTCCATGGATGCGACTCACGGTTCACCGTGTCGCGCCGCTTTGCCGATTCTCCAGCCCCTTCTGCATGCTCTTATGCCAAATGTGGCAAGCGGCTGCTACATCGCCTGCCGTCTAGGGCTTGGAATTTCTAGAAATGTTGTTGCTCCGATCGATGGCAAGCCTTGAGATGCCGTGTCGCAGAATGAAGCGACTACACCGACTCAACGGCAACTTCTCGACACGAGTTTGACTCGTTACTGCGCCATCGCTCCGTGGAGAGGTAGTCCAAGGGACTCCCCGTTTTTTCACTGGACGCCTCATGCGTTCCACGTGGTAAAGCGACAGCCGCCAGGATGTGAAAAGCCAGGGTAATCCCACGAGGCTCGCAGACCGGCTTTGCTTAGACAATCTCGGTTGTGGGGAGTCGTCTATCGGACAGGTCCTCTCACGCATCAGTCATCTAGTTTGAAGCAGACCGCAACTTGCCATAGCGTCGGTGAGGAACAGGGCCGGGCAGAGTCGGCTCGTCATCTGACTGACTGGCTCGATGGCTATCTCTGTGAAGAGCTTAGCATCAAAGACGCTGCTGTTTTGGATTGATGTCGCCGGGCAGCTGACCGTTTCTTTGCGGCAGGCCCTTCACGACCGAGTTATGTGCGCATGGCCGCGTTTGCAAGGGTGTCCAGGGCACTGCGGCGTGCACAGTACCAATCTACTCCAAGTGCACGATGGAGGGGTCCTACTCCATGTGGGCTTGCAAATGTTCCTGACGCCATAATGGCGGTCGCGTGTTGCGGCCGCGCTAGTTTATAGGACAGACTTTGGACATGATAAAATTAATGTCACTTGCAAAAGACCGGCGCCTCTCCGGCATCTGCCAGTGAGCAGCAGCCGCGATTTCCCTAGCAAACGAGGCGGACAAAAGGGTAGTGGCAGCAGTACACACACTATTTCGCCATGTGCCACCAAACTGCCTATAGGAGTCTCGCCAGGATCTGCAGCCCGGAAACGCAATGCTGATCTTTGGGCAGCAGAGTTGTGAGTGACGGGTCCTGTTCGCGAAGACTCGGCGCATGAATCGTCACAGCACAAAGGATGGGACCGAGTGCTCGAGGCAAGCAGACAGTACCAGGCGTAAGACGAGGCGTTGCAAGATATTGCCTGCACGCCACAAGCAGCGCATCACTTCTATCAACCTTCTCGAATACCTCGGTGCCGCTGCAAAGTGGAGGCTGGCAGACTAGGGATCTTGACTAGTCGGCCTCAGAGCTCGGATCAGCTTCCTGAATCTTTCAGGGCCAGCAATTGGGCAGAAATTATCCGACTATAGCTGCTGACGGCGGGCCTGCTCCAAGATGCACGGGGGTTGTCAACGATGACTGTTGCATAGCGGAGGACCGCGCATCGCCGCACGAAACAACGAGCTCCGTGACTGACACACGACCAGCGCTCAAATTGCAGCAGTGGTCTATCATTCCTGATAGACGCAGACGTGTTGCCGTCGGTTGGAAACGGCGTCCAAGTAGTTAGCAATGGATGCGCGGTCGCGTCGGGCGGGAGCAACGTTTGCTGTCTGCAACGGCATCATCCTATGGCACATGACGGGCTCTGGCAGCTCGCGCTGTTTGATACAACGGTGCCATGTCGTCCTTGTCGATGGCCACACAGCGCGTCTGGTGGCCCCGCCGAAACCCTTGTCTTGCAGACTGGGTTAATGGCACAAGCGACCTGTGTGCTGCACATCCTTCGCTTTACGCTAATACGCCGCTTCTGCAATCCTCGTCCATCTCTCTCCAAGCATCGGTATCAGGTTCTCCCCTCCCGACATAGCCCATCGCACACCATAGCCATAGCCCTCACCACCACTACTAATCACCTACTACCCTCCACCACCACCCGCGTGCCTGACCCAGCGCTGTGCCGTCTCCCGCCCCCCGTCGCGTCTCGCTTTGAGCTGTTCCTTTTTGCGACTGATTTAGTTTCGCG